TATTGATGATTTTGACCCTCCCCAGGAACGCAATTTTTTAATGAAAAAAAATCATAACTCCATTCAGATCATCGTTTCGCAGATATGAAAGACAGTCTACGAACCAGCATTCAAAAGCGCATTTTTTGGTATACAAATCATTATGAATGGCTACGGCATCCAAGTATCCTTCCCCTGTAAGAAAGATGAGATAATCAATCTGTACAGTTATTTAAAGATAGGAAAGTTCATAAAAACTTCTCATACAACCTAACGTACACTCCGTGCTCCATGTTTTTGTTTTTTATTGTTTCCGCTGTCGTGCTCCAACTACGTTTGATAATTGTAGGTGCAAATCTTTCTAAATTTTGTGCTAATGTTCCGTTTATGTTTTTTCGCAATTCAAAAAAAAACCTTTTACAGATTATGGATCGATTAGGAGTAGTATTCATATTATCACTGTGTACTGTACAGGGTCGACGTCTTCGAAGGCAAACATTGCCGTCACAACATATTCAGGTCTTTCTCTACTTACTTTACTAATTTCAAGCTAATGACAGGTGTAAGCCATTGGCATTTGCTATGCACTAATAGGTTTTGTTGGCATACGATGAGATCTATGACATGTGCTCACGCGATTATAATTTGTCATGTGTAAGCAATATTTGATGAGTTCTTGAGAGAGTGAAATGAAAATTGTTGAGAAAATTAAGAAATTCACCTATCCTGTCTTTATTGTATAACTTTCAGGTCCATTCTCTTCATTCAAATGTGTTATTTGATAAATATATCACTGTTATTTCTGCTGAATCTAGGATAGACATGACAGAAAAGTAAGTTTCACCCTTGACTTTTGTATGATAGAATTTTGAAATTGGTTCTTTGCAAAGCTATCGAAGTGCCCTTCCGCTTCAGTAAAAGTTTTATTGTTCTTTTTTTCAAACAAAATTTCACTACTAGTCTATAAAACGTGTTTTCCGAAAGCGTTAGCACTTGCTTGATGTTTGTATAACCTTATCACAATAAGAAATAAGCGCTCTTAATCTTTTACTTTGTATGCTTCAAAAATAGAGCCTTCCAGGATGCAAAAGTAATCTTATATATAAAGCTGAATGTCTGTTTGTCTGTATGTCTGTATGTCTGTATGTCTGTATGTATGTACGTATGTTCCGAATAGAAAATTCCATTTCTGAACCGATTCGGACCAAACTTGGCACACATACACTTCGGGGCCCGGCGGGTGTCATAGGCTACTTTTCGTCATCGATCGATATCGATTTTATCGATTTTTATCGATTTTTTTGCTGAGTTCACCTACGGGGCTGGGAGTTGGCACAGGGGGGTAATCGAGCATGGGGATTCCGAATACAATATTGGTTTTCAGGACTATCGATTACTTTTATCGATTTTATCGATTTTTTTGCAAAGTTTGAGCTACGGGGCTGGGAGTTCGCACAGGGGGTAATCGAGCATGGGGATTCCGAACGTAATCAGCATGCTCGATTACCCCCCTGTGCAAAATCCCAGCCTCCCATATCAAAATTTACAAAAAATCGATAAAATCAATAAAAGTAATCGATAATTCTGAAAACTAATATTGTATTCGGAATCCCCATGCTCACTCCCCCCCCCTGTGCCAACTCCTAGCCCTGTAGGTGAACTCTGCAAAAAATCGATAAAAATCGGTAAAATCGACATCAATCGATAACGAAAAGTGGACTGTGACACCCGCCGGGGCCCGAAGTGTATGTGTGCCAAGTTTGGTCCGGATACGGCGGAGCCGGGTAAGCCAGCTAGTTCCAAATATTACGTCGTTCCGAAAGTTCTTTCCGTTTTTTCAACCTATCATAAAAACACGAGGAATGAAGGTAAGGAAACGCTTCAGGCACTATCTGACGCAGCTTTTCTTTCTCTTTTAAACTGTCGTATTCGTTTGCCGCTTGCTGTTGTGGTCAGTGAGATAATGGCCGAAATTAGTGAACAAAGTGCAATGCAATTTTTTGGCAATTCCAGCCGGCTTCTCATTATTTTTTTAGATAACTTTTTCAGAAGTCTTCATTTTTTCGAAGTCACAAAACACACAAACGCTCTGAACATCAACAAATCATCGGCTTTCGAAACTTTCAAAAGTCGTTTATGATTGTACACTATTTTTACAAAGTAACTGAGAGTTTACCGCTTCGAAATACAAGATTTTGCATTGCACGGATACACCATGAGGCGGGTTCAAAATCAAGATTTATGGAAATTTTATCGCCAAAGACCCCACAAAATAATAAGAGAAAGTACTCATCAGAAAGAGGAGAAAAAGCTGCATCGAATGACACCTTAGTTGTGCGCCGTTTTGTGTTCTGTGGCTTTTGGCATCCCCAAAAGTGGAATTTGATAGCATCAGAAAAATAATTCTAAAAATGTTTTGAGGCTAGCTATAGATGCCGAAAAATTGCATAAAATTTCAATTTGTTTACTTTATCCGACTGCTATCAAAGCTTTTCCAAAAGTCAAAAAAGAAGATAGTGAAAAATTGCCAAAGCTGGACATGGTAAAAACCATGGGTTCGAAATTTCGGTCATTATCTCACTGATCATAAGAGCAAGCCGCACAGGTGTATGACAGTTGAAAAGAGGAAGAAAAGCTGCGTCGGACAGTGCCTGAATCGTTTCCCTATGTTCATTCCACGTATTTTTGTGATAAGTTGAAAAAACGGAAAGAACTTTCGGAACGACCTAATATAAAAGTTTTCCAAATAAGCCTATAACCTCTTTTTGATTTGATTGAATACTTGTTTGGCTTTTCTAATTTTTGTGTTGGTATCGGAAGCTCTCTGATTCTTTATATTAGCTTTTTGTTTTGGTAATATACTATTTTTGATTGCGGTAATCGATGTGATCTGTACAGGCCCCAAATAGACAGCGCTAATGGGAACATAAAACTTTTATAGGAAAAGAAATTCTGTAGAAATTCTACACGATCGGAATTCCGATTATCGATGTGCACACTCATTAGCAAACGAAGACAAACTATATCTTTCCAGTTCAGACGAATCCAAAAAAAAATTATCAAGCACTTTGAAAGTGTACAGGCTACAACTATAAGGGATGTCACTAAATTCGACTTTTGACAGCGGGTCCGGCAAAAATAGAAAAAAATGATACAGTCCATGCCTTCTTCTTCTGTAAATAACATCTCTATTTCAGAAATGTTAATGGGTCGTTCTGGTCAGGTCATTCGACAGTCACTTTCGATTCTTATGATACATTTGTAAATTGTTCCGCTCAGCAAGCAGAATCGTTTTTTAATCTTCAGAATAGTGCAAATCTATACGCCCAAGGAAACGGCATAGATGTAAGTTTTTATTTTGCGGAAGCTCACAACAGGCTATGTTTCGGGAAACTTCTTATCCTTTGCTTCAAACTCAAGTGTATTGATGGCTATACATTCAGTAAAAGTCGTAGTGGAGTCTTTTACTAGAAATGTTCGCACTCAGCTGAGGAGAGCAACAGCAAGAATTGGAGAATACACAATAAATCAAAATTTTTTGGTTATGGTTAGTACTATGGAATGCACTACTAAAGTGCGCTAGCAAGCAGTTTGAATATGTAATAAATCATGAAAGAGGACTATTTGAAGGAACCCCGCTGCTCTGTAATTCTTCTAGCTGCATGTTAGCGTGCCTTTTCCCCCTTTTGATGACCCTTTTTATTCATTGATTTTGCTTATGTCAATGGTTATGCTTTGGTGAGCTCATACACGATCAATTTAGTCTGAGAAGTAAATAATGAATCAATGATTTAGCAGCAGTCTGGAAGAGTTTTTCAAAGTCTTTCACGCTTCCCCCTCTAAGCTGAAAGATACTTATGGTTTGATATAAGTTACATTCAAAGCAAACATGGTATTTGCAAAAGAATGCATACACTGCACGATTGTTAATATCATTGTTCTCACAAAGTTTTGTGCCAACTTTAAGGTACCATTCTGTAGAGCTGGCTTTAAATTAGATTTACAGTATGAAGCGGAACCCAAAACAATTGTTTTTCTAACGTGTGAAACTGGATTAAACCATTTGCGAAGTTTCGAAGAATCCTAGAAACTTATAAGTTGGAGTCAACGTTCTTGAAAACTTTGCATAATTTTCCAGCGTTTTTTAAACTTCCTCTGAATTGGCAGCAAAATTCGAAATGGCGCAGTGTGCCGGAACTTCCTACTGTAATATTACAGTATTAGAACGCGATAACGGATTTGCTCTATATCGCAGAATCAAGCTGATTACTTATTATTTGGGCAGTGGATTGGGCCACAAAGCTTAGAAGGAAGAATAATTACTAAAATTTTATCGACGTTTTTCAAAGTCAATCAGATCAAAGCAAACACTTCAACAGCAAATCGACGTTTGAAAAGTTCTTGAGTGTATTCTTTACAAAGATCAATCTAATGCAAAAATAAAACCTTGAATGAGTACATAGTGTACCTAACAATAAATAAAAGAATGTAAAAGGATGTCTATTACCGAGGGAGGATACAGAAAGTAAAAACAGGCACAACGTTGAATTCGCTTTTATTAGTTGTGTTTATTCTTTTTCAAACGTCTAGAACAAGACAAAAATTGGAAAATTTTGATGACTTTTTGGCTAATTCGATAGAGCCGAAGAGCATCAAATGCGCCTAAGAAACTTAACTGGTACCGTTCTGTGAGTTTTACACTCATTACGGGCTTTTTTCTAAATGTACTGTCAAACTTTCAGCCAATCTTCTCAATTTCCTATAACTAGTAGTTCTTACGGTTGTTCCAGTGCTCATCTATTATCGACAACATTTGCGCGTAAAAGCTAAACTTTTACCAGCAAGTCGCCGACAAGCTGTTCGCATACAAACATACCTTTTAATTTCGCGCAAATGTTGTTTTCATAACAGGAGCACTGCTGTAACTGTATACATATCTCCTGCTACGAGTAATCAAGTGGCTTACTAATCCATTTTAGTTCTATATGCGAACAAATCGAACGCAGGACGGGCACTCTAATATGGTGCACGATTTAGTAGGTGATGTCAATGTCTCTATAGAAGACAATGGGCTCCGTGTGCAGGTATGTAAATTCAGTAAAATTTCATTAATTCATTTAATTTACAATTACCCGGCAAAAACACGCATATATGAGCAGCATCTATGGTCGTTGTTTAGCTAAATTCTTCGAGATTTTTTCTAGAAAGCTTTTCTCAAGTACGATCAGTAGCGAATTTTATGAGATCACTGTCGTCGATCGCAACAACTATGTACTTGAATAGCGTGATAACACTTGCAAAACATTTGAAATATGGGTTCAGTTTCGTTGCTGAAATAGCCTACACAATTCGAATTTGATATTTGGACGCAAAGTTTCGTACTCCAAGTCACATTAGGCGAGAAAACCTCTTTCTCACTAATTTTTCTCAATATCTGGTCAATACATAAGTTCGCACCAAAAAAATATAGAAAATTCGTTATGGAGTAATATTTTGTAGTGTATGATAGAGAAATAGATTAAAAAGTCGATCAAAATTTTTCAATCATTACTATTCGTAGATATCATGGTCATTCGTAACTTAATGTGTAAATTGAACACCGCGCGCGCTCCTTCACGACAAGTTACAACCTGCTAGTTTCCAGAAATTTGTTTGTTCTCTCCACTCTTTTGATATGATTGGATATGTATGAGTAGTACACATTTCCACAATTTCTTTAGTTAGTAAAGGAATTACTGACAAGTTTTCATAAATGTGTCGCCAGTTGGCGCGCGCAATGTGCAGACTCACACATAAAGTTACGAAGAATCGCGCAAATCCTAAACAAAAGTTTAAACTAGAAAGGACTACCAATTCGAAATCAATAACGACAAAATCTCAAAAAGCAGGAAGTGTTTCTTTCTCTTTGTGAAAGTCTAGAAAGTTGATAGATTCTTCCAGAACATGTTAAGACTGATGAATTTGCTAAGTAAGCTGTTAACGGCTTACAAAGTATGCAAGACTTATACAAGAACTCAGTACACATTCAGGAGCACAAAGAAAGCATACAACTTATCAAAAAAAAATCTGGAAGAAATACAATATTGGACAAATCTTTAGTCTTTAGGGTGTCCATGGACAGAGAGCAGGCATCGAAGCGCTAACATGGAATACAACTCATGAAAAATCCATGCATATTGCCGCTTCTAATCTTTCAAACGGACAACGTGAATTGGTCCTTATCGGTAGGTCAAAATTATACTTTCTTCGTTGTGAACATTGCCATTTATAGCGACTGCACCATTGTATCATGTTCGTATTTGCTTTCTTGGAGCTACAGTATACGTTGAATTCGGCGACAAAATAGTCCAAATCGGAGGCGATTATACTTCTGTCCGCATCCACACGGATAAATACTCCATTGTTGCAAAAACAAATGGAACACCGTATGATGCAAGTACACTTTCTTTTTTCAAAAAGTAAGCAGTTATATCAAAAATTTAGGTCACGCTAACAAACGAAGAAATTCTCATACGGTGTCCAAACGAGAGCACAATGCTGAGAGTTTTGCCATCAGGGGTAGCTGTAAACGTTGAGCAGCTAAATAGGTTTGTTTTTACAATAGTTTTCAAAAACTTTAACTCAGAAACCATCTTTTAGACTTCAGATAGACCGCGGTGGTGGAAAATTGTCTCTTGGAGGCAATGTGCTTGCAGCTGATGTCGTCAATGTGAGTACTGAGTCTTTTTTTTGTATAAATGTAGTCATGAGTTTCGTTATCACCCCCTTTTTTTCTCCCCAGAAAATTGTAAATCAAGTCGGTATGTAAGCAAACATCATCGAAACTATTTAAACCATTATACTTTACTTCACTTCTGTAAATGAAGATGAAGTTGCCTCTGATGTTGCAGCAATGGGATAAACTTAGATCCATGTGTATTTCCGATCTGTTCTTTTTTGAGTAACTTCATTTTCAAACTCTACAATGATTTGAAACCAACCAAAAATTTGTGCAATTTTTCCAGACATTCCCTGTTGAAATATTCAAAATATCATAGATTCTCTTCCTTGGGTCCCGTTCAAGAAGCTTTCAAAAAAATTCACACATTTCCAGCAGTTCAAAGAGAATATTGCTTTCTAGAAAATCATTTCTATTACTTCGCTGGGAAATCATGAAAAAATTTCTAGAAGATTCCTGCCGTTATATCTCCTCTTTAGGGTTTCGACTCAAATGGTGCTTGCTAAATTGAAAATTTGGCTCGCTGCTGCATTTATGTGCCAAATTCTTTGGCAGTGTGACGCAAATTTCTGTTTTACATTCAGAATTCCCATTCATCTCCCCCCCCCTCTCACTGCGATGTGTTCGAGATAATCTCAAGATTATCATTCAGGTGACGGCATTAAGTACAGATTTGAATCTGGAGAACACAGGACGAGTTACAGCTCATGCTATGAATTCTCATATAGCAGTACAAACGCCTGTACAGAACGTAAGTCTCAATAATAAAATACTTAATTTACGTAATTGAACTTAGGTCCAAGATGTTCTGAAACTGCGCAATCCTAGCATTACAATAAGGACATCAAGTTTGCGTACATTTATGGGAAAATAGAAACCAAAGCCACTTATTATTAAAAAAAAATTTTTTTTTCTTTCATCGCCGCGAATTCTTGGAAATTGGATAGTACTTGTATACGAAACAAGATTTACACGCAGTATTACCAGATATATTTTATTACCTAATTTATGTAGGTATACGGTAAAGTTCGATTTTTTTTGTCTGTCCAAAATCTGCGTGGAAGATTGCTCGCTATGACAATAATAATGAGAATCGAGTTTCCATCCTGTGCCCACAGCTGAGAAGGGGATCAACATCACCCACGCAAAAGGCTTTTCACAGGGCTTATTGATTGTAAGAAGAATAAAATTATTTCAAATATTTATGACCAAAGACAAGTTGATTTGCAGTTACAGACAAGAGGGGGAGGGGCACAAATTTGACTGAAATTACCCTTGTTGATTTTAAAACTAGCTGAAGGATGGTTCACCGAATTATTCAAAAAGGAGTATATCCTAGAAGACACAGTTTCACGTGAAAATTCAGCCATATTTGCAACAAAAAAATTTAGATACAGTATGATCGTAGTATTGCTATCATCTTTTAGGTAGGGATGACTTCAGCGCATCATGTTCTTCGTGTAGAAGGTGGAGCTCCTAAGATCGTTGTCAACACGGGACGATCATGTATTGAAGTGACAGCGAGTCATGGCTTACCGAAGATAGAAGGACTAATGCATCGGTTTGTCACTCCAGAGGACACCTTCAAATACATAGGACCTGATCATGGTTAGTAGAATGGTATTCAGAACCAAATTGGACGGTAAGAATTACTTTTCAGCCCCTCCTCGACCAACTCTTCCACCTGACATTACCGCGTCTTCATTCCCGATTCCTGTCGCCCTAGGTGGACCTCCTGTCTTCTTCAACGTTAGCGATCGTTGTGTGATTTGCTCGAATCGGACCACAGCCTTATCAACAACGAGACTACCAACTAGCTTGACTCCTACATTCCCTCCGAAGACTTCCACCACCACAACTTCCACAATTTCTCCTGGTCAAACCTTCCCCACTTTGATTTCGCTACCAAGTGAAGGTGGTGCGCAGCCTCCGGGCTCTACTGTGGCACCTTCCTCTGAAGTTCCTGGGTCTTCTGCGTTACCATCCGGCGCTCAAGGAACTACGACGGCCTCTCCTGAAGGGTCTACAGCAGGTCCTGCCACGACTCCAGCGATCGGAGAAGAGGCCACCACAGCAACACCACGACCAAGTGTGACTTCTGACCAGTTCGTTATAGGACAGTTTGAGGACTACTTGGGTGAAGAATACACTGGAGCGACAACGATAGAAGAAGGTTAGTCCCACTTCCAATCAGTGAGATTTTTCTAAGCAAATTCAAGCCTTTTTCCAGCAACGGTGGGATCATCCGCTTCACCATCACCATCTCCGACACCGGTCACGACACCAGCGCCAGCACCTGCCACGACCACAGCGCCACCACCTGCCACGACGCCAGCTCCTACCCCTATCACGACACCAGCGGTGGAGGCTTTCTCCACGGTGGCACCTTCTACAGCAGCACCTACAGAAAGTTTTCCAACTCCCATAGTACTGCCTCCCGGCACGGCAACAGTCGAATTAGCAGGCGGAGCTGAAGGAACTACTCCTTCGGCACCTACTACTGAAGAAGCTCCGGTAGCAAGTACCATCACCGGTGGTGGAGGAGGGTCATGGGAAACAGAAACTTTATTCCCGACTCCTTCCACAGCAGCGCCAAGGTAAGAGACTCCACCTTACTCTTCCTGTGATTTTTGTGATTTTCATGGTTCCTGCCATCTTCGTGATTACCCGTGGAGCGCGAAAACTTTCATCTATGCTGTAATGATGGCGCTGATGATCGCATCGCAGTCGACATTTGCATTACCTTTACAGCTAAAATTATTAGAGCATTGATTATTTCGGCCGAATAAAATAAAAAAGTAATTATGAGTAGTCATTTATTATTGGAGCCATCAAAGTACGGGAAGTTTCTGCGCTTCACGGGTAACAGAACTGATATCGCAAGAACCACAGCAATAATATGGCTGTAGCTCAACGAATTGTGTTAACGAGGAAATTGGTGAATTATTTGTCGAACTATTCAGGAAACCATCTGTGTTAGTGCTAAAAATGAAAATTCCTTCATCTCTGGATCTGCAGTCGTTTGATCTGGCCAGCAATCTCACCGCTGCCCTCAACGAAGTTGTCAAAGACTCTGTCAAGCGAGTTAGAAGGTCCAAGAGATCATTATCAGAGCAGGATCAGAGTTACTTCGTTCAGGTTTATGCCTTTTTCATTAATTTTAGAGTCAATAAATTTATGACTGTGCAGGTCCACAAGATCGAACGAAACGGAAACGCTGTGCGTGTTTTGTTCTCCGTAAACGAAACTGAAGTAGACTCCTCTATGGTCGAAAAGGATCTCTCGTCTTTGGATCGTAATTATCTAATGCGCTTTTTTAGTTTTCCTGTAAGAGATGTTAAAATCACCAGAGCAAGATATCAACCGGCTTTTTAGCTTTTATCTTCAATAAGCGCAGCTAGCTTGGATAACTACCTCGACTTTGTTGTGCTTGGCTCCCTAACACTAGCTCTATCAGTTGCATTTATTTGTTACATATTTCGAGCTACGATGAGGCAAAGGATCCAGACGGTAAGCAAGTTTTATTGCTTATAATTAGCTTGCTTCGACCCGCATATCGGAAAACTTCACATAATCAGAGTAAAAACCGAAATCCAGCTGTATAAATTCTCTCAAATTTCCAAGAGAAGTGAGCTACAGCGCTTTGATGCCGGACTTGCGCAGACCTGTTTATAGTCGATTCCTAACGTGGAGATCTGTGCAATGCACAATAATGCTGATCACACCTTTTGGCGCAAACTCTGGTTTGGACGTTTTACTATAGGAAAATAACAGCATTTGACACCTAGCAGAGCAAACTTGTACATGAGCACAAATAAATTACTATAAAAGACAAGCCTTTTCACACGTACGGGAAATTGTGTGCAATTGCACCCGTTCCATAGGTTACTCGGCTAAAGCTGACATGCCGCGACTAACGCTTGCATTGCAGTGGGAGAGGGGGGGGGGGGGGGCGTTTGTAACATAGGGTATAAACTGCACATTGGGGGGGGGGTGCGATTTTACGACTTATTTTTTCAAGTAAGTGATCTTCAAAACTATCTTGCGTTTTAAGCACAAGTAAAACTGACGACTAATCCTAGACCCTCAACACTTGTGTTAACGAAACGATCTTATTGATTGCTTACTCAATCACTAAGATGTTATGGAAAAATCGATGCTTTTGAGATTCAGCATTTAAGGACCTACATTTTTTGTTGACACTCCTGCTCGAAGAAGGGCTAAGGGTGCATCTAAAGTTGAGCGTGTCAGAGGCATGCCAGTGTCGTGGCCGCGCTGTGCCGGACATCGATCGATCAACTGCGGTGCGCGCATGTGGTTTCGGCACGGCGCTAGCACGGCGCTGGCATAGCGCTGGCACAGCTCCAGTAACAAAGGCAATTTGCATACAGGTTAAAGCATGTTTACAAACAGCGAGTGAAAATTTGTCCAAATGCTAAAAGGTTGTAGAAAATGATTCCAAAAGCAAAAGCCTTGGAGAAAATGGCTACTCACTCTTTTGTAAGGACTCGTGCTCGGAAAGAAAAAAGAACAAAGATATCACTGCAAACTGCTTAATAAAATTGAGTGAGGCGTGGAACTCTTCGACAGCGAATGCACAAAAGAATAAAAGATAGCTCAACCACATTTTGTTGCGCTTTGCTTAGATAGAATTTGCAAGAAGTATCTCACAAAACTAATTTTTCGAAGCATGTCACATTCAGTTTCAGGTGCTTGCCAGAGCAACACAACGGCTTTCAAGATTTCCATTCACGGAGAAAGTAACAAACATCACAATAATCACTGATGATTTTCAAAGCGCATAGTAACTGCCATTACTGCACAACGCACTCCTGCACTGCTCCTGCACAACTACTCAATGCTTTCACGCTTTCTCTGCAAAGTCTTTCACCCCAGAATTTCTTTTATATCTGGAAGAAATACTGGTATTAATCACTGCAAATTGTTCTTTGTCTGCCCAATTTACTGCCACCAAAGAACAAACGCTGCTGTCTATAATTGTTAATATGTGATTGGCAATGTGATTACTTGGCGTTTACATATCTACCATGTTTTTCCGAATACTGTAGATGTACTATGACTGCTGCACTATCTACTGCCAAAGTTTTGGATATAGCTGTTTTCAGTATTAGAAAAGGAAATCATAGAAATAAGCTATCATAGGAAACAACAGAATTTCGCGCTAGAAACTATTATTTTTATTGAAGACAGCTATAATTGTTTAGAAACATGTGTCATACAGCTCAATACATTGATTTGTACTAGTGTCAACCGCTAGAAGTTTAGTTTACACATGTAGCGTCTGTAGATACGAAGAAGTTTGATGTATTAAATAAATATTTCTTGTATCAAAAACAGAAGAGGACATCCGCATATAAATGTACAGATTGTGATTTTGCTTATCCGAGCTCTCTTCTATGAAAAGCCGAGGAAAGCACATTAGAAGTTTGTAAGAGCCGCATGATATAGAGTAACTAAATTCGTAAGGACTAATTTGAAATAGAGAAAAGCTCCAAAATTTTTGATTCTCAAAAGGTTCATATTAAGTTGATCCAAAAATTCTGTCGTATTTAAAAAAAAACTTCTTCCTGTTACGATAGTCTTGCATAGCATTAATATTACCAAAAAGAGAAATTCATTCATATGCTGTACTTTTTAGCAATACCTTGTTTGCTCTCTACATTCTAATTGCGAGGATAAAAATGAGAGAAAAAGAGCAGTCAAGGTTTGGTGATTTCAAGAGCCCTTTGAAAATCTAAAAACTGCGCTAGAAATCGAAAACAGTCTCATAAGTTTTCTGTACTTTTCTTTCTTGAGCAAAGTTTATGCTTTATAATGACCTAGTTATGATTTTCGAAATGCCAAAAAATCAATTTCACAGTTTTCTGCCTCAACCTGTTAGTTACGGATTATCACCGAGACTTCAGTATTGGGTAAACTAAAGTACCTTCTATGCTTGTTATTTTGCCAGAATCTGTCGTTTTGTATTGGACACGGGCATACAAAAAAAAGAAACGACATAACTTTCAGGACGACGTTAGCAATACCATGACTTATCAATTCGTCTATCTAATATAGCCAAAATGCAACAGTGAATATCATTTATTGCCTCAAATTACAGTGATGGGATTGGTATGAGATTGATGTCAGTTAATAGAATTCTTTCGCAAGAACAGATTTATAAAAATGTCGTAATGACTATTTATTGGTGCGAAACTACTGGAGCAGCAGTAGCATCAAGAGTAGTAGGAAACTGTGGAAAATGAGGAAAATATTAACCCGTAAAAGTGTGACGTAGAGAAACACATTCTGCGAAAGTTTGTGAGAGATCTCAGAAAAATACCGATGTTAGCACGCTTTTGACAAAGCTTTATGTATAGTGTGAAACCGGAATTTTCTGTAATTCTGCCATTTTCTGTCATATTTTGATGAAGTCACAAAAATGACAGAATCTTGCCAAAATTCCTGTTTCACGCTGGATTCATAGCTACCCTACGAGGATGCTTGTCGATAACAGAAAAAGGAAAAGACAAGGTTATAAACCACAAGATACAAGTCGTAGTATAGTGTATCCGAGACAACGAAGGCAACTTAGAAGATTGGCGAATCGTGCCTTAATCGTGTCAAAAATCCTACAAACACTTGCAAACTATTAGGTTGGCGCAAAAGTTCTGCTGTTGTTTCATTTTCAAATTTGTAAGTTCTCCCTGTCTGTACAGATTTGCGTTGCTATATTTTATTAGAAAGAAGAAACCTTCTACTTTTCGGTGCTGCTTAGCGAGTTCCACCCGAACCTGAATTCATAGATAAAACTGGATATAAATAAGGTCATTCAAGCTTCGACCATTTTGAGTTATCGAGTAAGTTAGTGAGTTCGTCCCTAAAATCAGAAACATTACACAAAAATCCAGAATTGTCAGTTCATAAGTTTTACGACCTACTCTTTTTAACTGCGAAAAGTTTTTGCTGGTCAGACGTATCTATGAAAAGCTATCACTTTCGGGAAAAGATGCTTTGGCATTAGAAAGTCCCGAAAGTTCCGTCGTTTTGTTTCTGGAAATTTGTACTTTTTCTGAAAATTAGTCATTTTTTATCTTGACAGATTTGTTTTTTGTGGTTTTAATAGAAAGAAGAGGACTTCCTCTTCGTAGAAATATCTTGTTAGGCTTCAGAGCATTCGAGGTTGGAACCATGCGGAAAAAGCTGGGATTGTCAGTAAATATGTTTTGTTATTGCTCTTTGCACCTGAGGAAAAGTCGTGCTCTTTGAACGTTTTTGCGAGAAGTTGTGATTTTCGAGAAAAGTGACAAATCAATTAATTTTGGCGTTATGTTGTGGACTCGAGATTTATAACTTTTCGCGAAAGCGTTCAAACAGCACGATTTTTCGTCATTTACAAAGAGTAAGTTATAAAAGTTAAGTACTGAAGATTTCAGATTTTTCCGCAGCGTTCCAGTTTTTCTGCAATTTAAAAATGATCGAAGCCTGAGTGATCTTCCTCTTCCATTTTTATCTCTGCAGTGAGTGTATAGTAGAATGCAAGATGAATTTGAAAAGAAGGAGGCTCTTTTTTCGATAAAATTACATAGAAGCAAATCCGTCAAGATAGCGAAAACTTACAAATTTTAGTTAAACGAAGGAACTTTCGAGACGACTTAATAAAAGTTCAAACAAATTTCGCAATTGTACACAATGACGAACCCGCTAGAGACAGAGGAAATTTTGCGACATTTGAGACTTGCGTTTTAACACTATATATTTCTTCTTTTCTTTCTTCTTTTTTCTTTTCTTCCTGGCTTTTCCCCTTTTCTTCTATCGCGGCAGCCATTTAAATGACTGCCGCTCAATGATGGAGTAATTGATTTGGCATTTTCTATTGCAAACTCAATACCAAAACTTTCCATAGAGAAATCCAGTGAGCAAGATCTTTTCATAATGGAAAAAGCAGGACTAAAACTTATACGCTAACAATTCTAGTTTTTTGCAACGCTTCTTTTTTTGGCGGCAATAATCAAATCTTAATAGTCTTGTTATCCAATTTTGTTCCGGACCAGTGTTCAAAAAGGAACTTGCTAAGGCAGCAATAAAAAGTAGGAGGCTTCTTGCTAAGGCAGCAATAAAAGTAGGAGGCTTCTTCTCTTCAATAGGATTACAGGAAAGCAAATCTGTCCAGACAGGAAAAAGTTACGATTTTTTGAAAATGGGACGACAGAACTTCTTCTCTTCAATAGGATTACAGGAAAGCAAATCTGTCCAGACAGGAAAAAGTTACGATTTTTTGAAAATGGGACGACAGAACTTTTGCACGACCTAACATTTTACCCGAATTTATGGTCGAATTCAGAAAACAATTTAACAGCGAAATCTTGTCTCTG